CACACACATACACAGCGTGTAGCACTCACACAGCGTGTAGCACACACACACAGCGTGTAGCACTCACACAGCGTGTAGCACACACACTCACACAGCGTGTAACACACACACACACAGCGTGTAACACACACACACAGCGTGTAGCACACACACACACACAGCGTGTAGCACACACACTCACACAGCGTGTAACACACACACACAGCGTGTAGCACACACACACACACAGCGTGTAACACACACACACACACAGCGTGTAACACACACACACAGCGTGTAGCACACACACACACACAGCGTGTAGCACACACACTCACACAGCGTGTAACACACACACACACAGCGTGTAACACACACACACAGCGTGTAGCACACACACACACACAGCGTGTAGCACACACACACACAGCATGTAACACACACACAGCGTGTAGCACACACACACACAGCGTGTAACACACACACACAGCGTGTAACACACACACACACACAGCGTGTTACACACACACACACTGTGTAGCACACACACAGCGTGTAACACACACACACACAGCGTGTAGCACACACACACACTGTGTAGCACACACACAGCGTGTAACACACACACACAGCGTGTAGCACACACACACACTGTGTAGCACACACACAGCGTGTAACACACACACACAGCGTGTAGCACACACACACACACAGCGTGTAACACACACACACACAGCGTGTAGCACACACACACACACAGCGTGTAACACACACACACACACAGCGTGTAGCACGCACACACACAGCGTGTAGCACACACACACACTGTGTAGCACACACACACACAGCGTGTAGCACCCACACACAGCGTGTAGCACCCACACACAGCTTGTAGCACACACACACACAGCGTGTAGCACACACACACACACAGCGTGTAGCACACACACACACACACACCGTGTAGCACACAACAACAACGATCGCCATTCGCCACGAAGTGGCGGTGACGTCACCACGACGCTTGTGCCAGGCCATGTGCACCTTGAGGCCACGTGAAGTGTCGAACGCCCGCTGGCAGGTCACAGGGCAGACCCAGCAGGTGCCACAGGTTAACTGACCTGAGACGACTGGATGATGCACCACCTGTGCCCCTTACTGTGCCAACTTGCTGTGCTTTAGCCACCCGGCGCTCCGCTCGTTGTTGTGAGCGTCGCTCCTCCGCCCTCCGTTGTTGTTGGAGGGCGACTGCCTCCAACTGCCCAGTAGCGTCTTTCACGAGCCTCCTCCACAGAGGCCGATCTTGACACCGCTGGTACCGGTCATCGGTAAGTCCACTCAGCTCCACATCCTCCTCTACCATATCACTCCATCTCTTCTCTAGCCCGTGCCGCGCCCGTTTAGCCTCCTCGATCCGGCCGAACAAAAGCTGTTTCGGCATGCGGTGGCTGGGCATGCGGGCTACATGACCCAGCCAACGCCGCCTTGCCTGCCGGATGAGCTCAACGATGGGACTTTGTCCAGATCTTTCAAGGATATGTGAGCTCCTCACACAATCCAGCCTGGTTAAACCCAAGATGGATCGTAGGCAGGCCAGCCTAAATGTTTCTAACCGGCGAAGATGTTCCATTAGGGGGATCCACGTTTTGCGAGCGTAGAGAAGGAAGGGAATAACTGTGGCCGTGCAGACCTGAAGCTACGTGCGAAGCTACAGAGCAGGTAGCTTTCACACAGCGTTACGCAACCGATGAAAAGATAATGCCACTCGACTGATTCGGAGTGAGACCTCTGCTGTCAAAGTGGAAACGTCATGAGCACACTGCCAGGTATAGCACATACACACACCGTGTAACACACATACACACACACCGTGTAACACAGACACACACACCGTGTAACACACACACACACACTCCCCGTGTAGCACAGACACACACCGTGTAACACACACACACACCGTGTAGCACAGACACACACACCGTGTAACACACACACACACCGTGTAGCACACACACACACATACACCGTGTAGCACACACACACACACAGCGTGTAGCACACACACACACCGTGTAACACGCACACACACACCGTGTAACAAACACACACACAGTGTAACACACACACACAAACCGTGTAACACACACACACACCGTGTAACACACACACACCCCTTGCAGCACAGACACACACACACACCCCGTGCAGCACACACACACCCCGTGCAGCACACACACCCCGTGTAGCACAGACACACACACACCCCGTGTAGCACAGACACACAGCGTGTAGCACACACACACACCGTGTAGCACACACACACCGTGTAGCACACACACACACACACATCGTGTAGCACACACACACAGCGTGTAGCACACACACACACCGTGTAACACACACACACATACACCGTGTAACACACACACCGTGTAACACACACACACCGTGTAGCACACACACCGTGTAACACACACACACCGTGTAACACACACACACCGTGTAACAACACACACACATACACCGTGTACCACACACACAACCGTGTAGCACACACACAACCGTGTAGCATACACACGGGGGGGGGGGGGGGGAAAGACATTCAAAGAAAAACATAGACAAAGACCCCCCCTATAGCCTGAACAGACTGTTGTGGCAAGTGCTGTGAGCGAGCACCTATGAAGGCCGGCACGGCACACGAGGGGGTGCGTGGCCAGTAGCACGCCCGACCGCCTTTGTCTCCCCAGTGGCGAGGTTTACACACCACACCAGGTACTCATTTGAGGCTGAGTCGACCTAGGAGAGGCCCAGGACCAGTTCAAATAATCGTCACCGGGTGTTGGCCGTGAGCGGGAATCGAACTCGGGTCGCCGGGTTCGTAGCGCAGCGTAGCGCTAACCGCAACACGACCGCTCTCCGATACAGTTACACAAGCCTGGTCACACACAAAGACAAAGACCCCCCGTATAGCCTCAACAGACTTCTGGGGCAAGTGATGTCAGCGAGCAATTATGAATGCCGGGAACGGTCCACGAGGGGGTGGGTGGCCAGAACCACGCCCGACCGCCTTTGTCTCCCCAGTAGTGATTTTTGCACACCGCACCAGGTTCTCATTTGAGGATGAGTCGACCTAGGGGAGGCCTAGGACCATTTCAGATAATTGTCACCGGTGTTGGAATCGAACTCGGGTAGCAGGGTTCGTGGTGCAGCACGCGAACCGCTACAATACCGCTCCCCACTGTGTTGCACACAAACATACACACTCACACAATGTGCAGCACACACACACCACACACACAGCACACACACACAGCACACACACACAGCACACACACACAGCACACACACACAGCACACACACAGCACACACAGCACACACACCACTCACACACGCCACTCACACACCACTCACAGCACCCCACACACAGCAACACCACACACAGCACACACACACAGCACAGCACACACACAGCACACACAGCACACACACAGCACAGCACACACACAGCACACACAGAACACCACACACACCAACACCACACACACCACACACAGCACACACAATCGACCACACATAACATAGCATATTACATAAAGCATCACACAGCAAGGCACAACACAGACAAAGATTCCCATGCGTAGCCGTTAGAGACGTTCACACACCCTACACATCAAGCATCATATCACGTAGTACATCACACGCAGCCTGTCAATCACACACACCCCTCGCACCATATCGCGCAGAACAGCACACACGCTTCGCGCACCACGTCACCCAACATGGCACGCACCATCACAGCCCTTGCCACATCACACACCCCACCCGTGGCATCACGCGGCATACAGGGACAGCACACCATCCACAGCACTCCCCCGAGAACACCGGACGCATCACACGCTCGTAACAACATCCACGCACATCACGCATCACGTTGGGGCAATCACGTTACATGTCACGGAACGTAGCATATCAAAGGCAAAGATCCCCGTATAGGCTTAGAAGAGAATTCTGGGGCAAGTGCTGTTAGCGAGCACATATGAAGGTCGGCAAGGGACGCGAGGAGTTGGCTGACCAGCTCCACGCCCGGCCGCCTTTGTCTCCCTAGTGGCGATGTTGACAAAGCAACAGCACAAATACTTACACACGCACGTCACGTGACATAGCACGCCACGCACGGACACCGCATACCGCATCACAACCCATCATATCACCCACTCATCCCATCACATCACCCACCCCACCCATCACACCGACTCCCGAGCCCGATCTCATTACCCATCACCCCATCACCCTACACATCCCCTCCCCACCTCCCCACCTCCATCACCCCCATCGCCCCCATCACCCTAGACATCACATCACCTCTCCACCCCCATCGCCATACACATCACACCCCCTCCTCACACCCATCACCCCCATCACCATACACATCACACCCGCTCCTCACCCCCATCACCCCTATCACATTACCCCTCCATCACATCACCCCCATCACCCCCATCACCCCCATCACATCACCCCTCCATCACATCACCCCCATCACCCCCATCACCCCCATCACATCACCCCTCCATCACATCACCGCCATCACCCCCATCACCCCCATCACATCACCCCTCCATCACATCACCCCCATCACCCCCATCACATCACCCCTCCTCCACCCCACACGAAACCTCAACGCATTCGTCACCCTCACACATCGACATCATCATCCTCATCCTGTCCACCTCCTCTCACCCCCCACCCCACCTCTCCCCCAACTCTCCCCGCCCGACGCGGCACTGCCCCGTGTCGCCTCCTCGTGTGCAGGGGCAGCAAACTCGCGAGCCACGTGGTGGTGGTGGTGGCGGCGAGGGCAGCAGTGGGCAGCTGTGGGCAGGACAGCGCGACCGCGTCGCAGTGCAAGCGCGGCCGTGGTGAAAAGGGCAGCTCGGCCGTGGTGAAGGTCGTGGGGGGGTTGGGGAGGTGGGGCGGGGGAGGGGGGGGGCAAGTTGGGGGAGGAGGGGGGGGCAGCAGCAACAGCGGCGACCAGGCGAGGTGCACAGGGCAGCAGCAGCAGCAGCGTCGTTGTCGGCAGTGGGAATGCATCATGGGCAGCGTGGGCCCGTGCGAGCGAGGCGTGCGCGGGACACTCACCACCGTGGGAGCCTTCACGGCCTTCAGCCTCATGACCATCGCCGTAGGCACGGACTACTGGCTGTACGCGCGGGGCACCTGCCGGTCGCGACCCCACGACGACAACGAAACGGCGGCGCGCAGGGCCGAGGAGGTGCGCACCCACTCGGGGCTGTGGAGGACCTGCTGCCTGGAGGGTGAGGAGACGAGTGAGAGAGGGTGGTGGTGGTGGTGGTGGTGGTGATGGTGGTGGTGGTGAGGGTAGAGGTGTGTGAGAGGATGGGATGCTGCCTGGAGGGTGAGGAGACGAGTGAGAGAGGGTGGTGATGGTGGTGGTGGTGGTGATGGTGGTGGTGATGGTGGTGGTGGTGAGGGTAGAGGTGTGTGAGAGGATGGGATGCTGCCTGGAGGGTGAGGAGACGAGTGAGAGAGGGTGGTGATGGTGGTGATGGTGATGGTGAGAGTAGAGGTGTGTGAGAGGAGGGGATGCTGCCTGGAGGGTGAGGAGACGAGTGAGAGAGGGTGGTGGTGATGGTGGTGGTGGTGATGGTGGTGGTGATGGTGGTGGTGGTGAGGGTAGAGGTTTGTGAGAGGATGGGATGCTGCCTGGAGGGTGAGGAGACGAGTGAGAGAGGGTGGTGATGGTGGTGATGGTGATGGTGAGAGTAGAGGTGTGTGAGAGGAGGGGATGCTGCCTGGAGGGTGAGGAGACGAGTGAGAGGGGGAGGTGGTGGTGGTGATGGTGATGGTGGTGGTGAGGGTAGAGGTGTGTGTGAGAGGAGGGGATGCTGCCTGGAGGGTGAGGAGACGAGTGAGCGAGACAGGGAGAGCTTGGGTGATGGTGATGGTGGTGAGAGTAGAGGTGTGTGAGAAGATGGGATGCTGTCTGGAGGGTGAGGAGACGAGTGAGAGAGGGAGGTGGTGGTGGTGGTGGTGGTGATGGTGGTGGTGAGGGTAGAGGTGTGAGAGAGGATGGGATGCTGTCTGGAGGGTGAGGAGACGAGTGAGAGGGGGAGGTAGTGATGGTGGTGGTGGTGATGGTGAGGGTAGAGGAGTTTGAGAGGATGGGATGCTGTCTGGAGGGAGAGGGGACGAGTGAGAGAGACAGAGAGAACTTGGGGTGATGGTGGTGGTGGTGGTGGTGAGGGTAGAGGTGTGTGTGAGGATGTGATGATGGTGATGGCGGGTGAGCGATTGTGGGTGAGAGTAGAGGTGAGGGAATGTGTGTGAGGATGTGATGATGGTGATGGCGGGTGAGCGATTGTGGGTGAGAGTAGAGGTGAGGGTGAGGGAATGTGTGTGAGGTGGGGATGTGGAGGACCTGTTGCTTGAATGGTGAGAGGTTGGGATGGGTGAGGAATGTGTATGTGTGAGGTGAGTGAGTGTGTGTGTGAGGTGAGGTAATGTGTGTGTGTGTGAGGTGAGGTAATGTGTGAGGGTGGAGGTGAGGGAGTGTGTGTGTGTGAGGTGAGGGAGTGTGTGTGTGTGAGGTGAGGGAGTGTGTGTGAGGTGAGGGAGTGTGTGTGTGTGTGAGGTGAGGTAATGTGTGAGGGTGGAGGTGAGGGAATGTGTGTGTGTGAGGTGAGGTAATGTGTGTGTGTGTGAGGTGAGGGAATGTGTGTGTGTGTGAGGTGAGGGAGTGTGTGTGTGTGTGAGGTGAGGTAATGTGTGTGTGTGTGTGAGGTGAGGGAGTGTGTGTGTGTGTGTGTGAGGTGAGGTAATGTGTGTGTGTGTGAGGTGAGGGAATGTGTGTGTGTGTGAGGTGAGGGAGTGTGTGTGTGTGTGAGGTGAGGGAGTGTGTGTGTGTGTGAGGTGAGGTAATGTGTGTGTGTGTGAGGTGAGGGAGTGTGTGTGTGTGTGAGGTGAGGTAATGTGTGTGTGTGTGAGGTGAGGTAATGTGTGTGTGTGTGAGGTGAGGTAATGTGTGTGTGTGTGAGGTGAGGGAGTGTGTGTGTGTGTGAGGTGAGGGAGTGTGTGTGTGTGTGAGGTGAGGGAATGTGTGTGTGTGTGTGAGGTGAGGTGATGTGTGAGAGTGGAGGTGATGGAATGTGTGTGTGTGTGTGTGAGGTGAGGGAGTGTGTGTGTGTGAGGTGAGGTGATGTGTGAGAGTGGAGGTGATAGAATGTGTGTGTGTGTGAGGTGAGGGAGTGTGTGTGAGGTGAGGTGATGTGTGAGAGTGGAGGTGAGGTAATGTGTGTGTGTGTGAGGTGAGGGTGAGTGTGTATGTGGGGTGAGGTGATGTGTGAGAGTGGAGGTGATGGAATGTGTGTGTGTGTGAGGTGAGGGAGTGTGTGTGTGTGAGGTGAGTGAATGTGTGTGTGTGTGAGATAGTGTGTGTATGTGAGGTGAGGGAGTGTGTGTGTGTGAGGTGAGGTGATGTGTGAGGGTGGAGGTGATGGAATGTGTGTGTGTGTGTGAGGTGAGTGTGTGTGTGTGTTAGGTGAGTGTGTGTGTGTGAGGTGAGTGTGTGTGTGAGGTGAGGGTGAGTGTGTATGTGAGGTGAGCTGATGTGTGAGGGTGGAGGTGAGCGTGGGAGGCGGTGGGGAATTGGATTGTGCGTCTGACGCTGATGCCCACCGACAGCCAAAATCAGTGACGAATATCTGAACCGGTCCTGAACCTCCCCGAGGTCGATTAGGCATTAATGAGTACCTGGTGTGGTGTGTAAACATCAACGCTGGGGGAGACAAAGGCGGCCGGGCGTGGTGCTGGCCACCCACCCCCTCGTGCGCCGTTCCGGCCTTCATAGGTGCTCGCTAACAGCACTTGCCCCAGCAGTCTGGTGAAGGCTATACGGGAGGTCTTTGCCTTTGTGTATGTGTGTGGCTGACTTATTATGGGTGTATTTGTGTCGGCACGTTAAGAATATATATTTCATGAATATTAAAATGTGAATGATTCACCGTTACTCCACTGGCCGTGTCGACACCTGAGCGATAGAACAGTCGATCCTTGCGTGGACGTCTCTGGGACCAGTTGCTCGGACCAGTTGCTCGCTCGGCGATTTGGAGCCACGCGTTTGAACACCACGTGACGCATTAGCGAAGAACACAAAACAATAACTAACGCTCTAATTCTAGATTTTAAGTATTCGTGACTGCAAGGATTCATACTCTTAGTTCTTTCGGTAAAGTCACGTAGGTGAAAAAATGAAATTAAAATTAATAAACAAATAAAACAATAAAATCACGACGTTTCGGAGACAACACAAGTCTCCGTCATCAGGTGGGACACGAGTGGGCGGGGCTAATTAGAAAGGGGGCGGGGGGCTATGCAGTGGAGGGCGTGGTCATCCGATTTAGCCACCCCACCCGTGTTGCTCTTTAACAGGATAAAATGATCTTCTTGGTTCTTTCGGTAAAGTCACGTAGAATGGAAATAATAAAATAATAAAATAAAACATAATAAAATAATTCTCACGACGTTTCGGCCACAACGCAAGCAGCCGTCCATGACTTTACCGAAAGAATCAAGAAGATGAATCCCTGCAGTCACGAAAGCTTTAAATCGAAGGATAAAATGAATCTGCCACATAATTAATGATAAATGTTGATAATGTTTTAGGCCCGTATGTGGAGTTATTGGGCGTGGCTTTGCCCATATAAGGAATACTGGAACAGGAATCGACGTTTTTTTTACGATTCCATAATGCTCGATTAATCGGGAATCGATCCATTACATTTTCCCGCGTCTCTGTGTTCAAGGATGGATCAAGCTGTGACATTTTTAATGCGCATTTTTTACTCGCTAAAGTAATTCCTGTCACGTGATTTCTGGATATCAAGAGACGATTTGTCGATCGGATCTAAAAAGCCCCCCCACCCCCATATTGGCTGCCTTGTGAATTAACATAATTTATTTTTCGATTTGAAGCTTTCGTGACTGCAGGGATTCATCTTCTTGGTTCTTTCGGTAAAGTCACGTAGAAGGGAAATACTAAAGTAATAAAAATAAAACATAATATAATAAAATTCTCACGACGTTTCGGCCACAACACAAGCAGCCGTCCTCAGGTGTTTTTTTCACGTGACTTTACCGAAAGAACCAAGAATGTGAAACATAATTTATCATTAATTCTGTGGCGGAGTATTCATTGATTACTGATAGCTCAGGTTTCCTCCTCGTGTAGCAAGAACACCCCCCCCCCCCGGGAATGTGGTATTAAGACTCAGTGAGGCTTTGCTGAATAAATAATTGATCTCGATTTTCAATCAATGATAAATGACGTTTTTTTTACGGATTATAAGACGGTCCGAAAATGAAGACGCACTCCCAAATTTGTGTCCGGTGTTAATAAAGCTAATGGCAACTTTTTTTTTAAAATATAAACTTTAACACTTTTTATTTTACCAGATAAGATCCAATAAAGTGTTTCAAATCCGGTCTCGCACACGCACGGACACCTAGCGAATTATAATACGTACCCCCCTCCGCCCTAACATTTTGCTTGAAAATAAATGCAGCTGCGTCTAATAATCCGGATAGTTAACAGCATTGCTAGAAATACAACTCAACACATTCATCAACAAGACTGGAGCCTTATACTAGTAAGAATCTCCTGGTTACACCAGCCCACAGGGGATTATTGTGTCCGTCCGTCGTGCATCCAAAAATGGGAGGGGTGGGACTGGGTAGAGAGGGGAGGGTGGGGAGGGGCTGGGTGGGGAGGGTGGGTGGGGCTGGGTGGGGGGAGGGGAGGGTGGGGCTGGGTGGGGAGGGGCTGCTCACCCCGTGGTGCCCTTATAAAACTCAACGTTTAACCTACTCACGCCGGCTTGTGCCCGCCCTCACAGCCGGGCATATTTGCGGAATACACCACGCCGCCGTTGACCCTGGCCATTGACCGAGCAACCCAACGTTCCTACCAGTTCCCTCCGCAGGGATGTGTTAAAGAAATACAAAATAGACAACGTTTTAGACAGTGGCCCATCTTCACAGTCTAAGCACGCGCTCATAACTCGCTGGCAGTCACGCTATTGGGTGCCGAGCACGGATTGTTTTGCCCAGTCAGGTGTTTGTGGAGACTTTGGCTCCGTCCATGCTCATATATGGCTCAGACTCGACCACTTGCAGTCATCCCCCGCCTCTTCCCCTCCAGCCAGCGCCCCCCCTCCCATCGCGAATGCAGTAATGGGCTCTCCCAGGCTGCCGAATGTTATAGCTATGACGTAACGATTAATCGATTACTATGAGGTCT